ATACATGACAAATTCTAAATCTTTGATGATGGTTTTTCATGGGTTTACTTAAACAAGTCAGTCAGTTCCTACTAGGTGTGAAACCCTTTAGCATTTTATTTAGAGAGGAAAAACAAATAGAGTGATAAAGGAGATCATGAAAGGCACTCATTTGGGTTTTCAGGTTTGATGGTTTAGATTTACCTTTCTACTTGGTAAAATGAACAGTGAGGGAAAGAGGGCATAGAAAAGAAAGAAATAAAGGGGAAAGTGAAAAGGAAGAGACGTGCTCAGGGTTGAGACTCTTGGCCAGAACTCAGTGAAAAAAATTATGCCCAGAACTTCAGTTTCTGCTTCATTCTCTCCTTCTCTGTGGTCTGCACCTCTCCACTAATGGAGAAACCCACAGTTCCAGAACTAATACTCCTCGCGTGAATCCTAATTGACCCTGTGAAGGCTCTTCCTCCTGTTTTGTCTCCAGCATGTCATTGCCATCTGCCCCCCAGGAGACTTGAGGCAATCTCCGCTCTCTGCCTTCACTGCTGGCCATGCAGAGAGAGGAGAGTGAAGACGCTGAGGGTGAGAGAGAAGGTAATGATGGAAGATAATGAAGGACCCAAGAGAAAATCCTTCACGGAGAAAACCATGCCCTGGAAAGAGAGAGAATGGGCAAGAAAGGGAGGCAGACGGGGCCTGAGGTTTGGCCAGGTGATGCAGACCCAGGGATCTGTGGGAATATGATGGAAACTTCATTTCCATTGCATTTGTTAAGCAGCTCTCTGTGTGCGTTTTTCACAATGTGTTTAATGTGTCCTTGGCAAGGGAAGCCGATGTCAGTGACAATCTCAGCATTACCAGTTGGACAGGGATAAAGCCTGGATCAAGGATTAATGTGAGGGCTCACTGATGGGGGTGAACAGCAAGACACAGATGCCTACTCCCTGATAAGACTGGGTCACCCTCCAGCCTGAGCAGAGGAAGTTAATGAGGAAGGACTTCAGAAGCAGACAAATCCAGGTGGAGCAGGGACAACACTCGCAGCAACAGGGGACTGGTGACATGAAGCTGTGTGTGAGCGAATAGGGCGTTGAGGATGGGCTGCCCGAGGCAGGAAGTCCCGGATCAGGGGACCCCGCTGAGATAACTCGAGACCTGCCCTTGTTTGAGATTCAGCCATTTATCCTCCCCTCTCCTCCTTGTTTACTTCCCTTTTCTCCTTTGTCTGGAGTCATTTATACAGCAACTCTTCTACTTCATATCCCTTCTCTGCTTTCCCTTGGACTGCCAACCCATTTATTGTCCAACCATAACTCCAAGCCAATCACACCTTTCTGGAGAATAATAGTTTTCCCATCACTGTTTGGGTTCATCAGTGCTAAGGTCTGAATAATTGTGTCCCCTCCCCAAATTCATTTGTTGAAATCCTAATGCCCTGGTTTATGGTATATGGAGATGCTTAGGTCATGAGGATGAACCCTCATGCATGGGATTAGTGTTCTTATAAAATAGACCCCACAGAATGTCCTAGCCCCTTCAGTCATGTGAGGACACAGCAAAAAGTCTGCAGCCTAGAAAAGGACCCTCATCTGACCATACTGGCACCCTGACCTTAGACTTCCAGCCTCCAGAACCATGAGAAATAAACTTTATTATTTAGAAGCCACCCAGTCTGTGGCATTTTGTTACAGCAGCCTGAACTGACTAAGACACTCAGTGTAGCTTCCCATGACATCTTCTAGAGGACTGTTCTCAGGCCACTGAAAATAGACCCTACAGCATCATGAAGATGGTATTCCTAGTCAAATCTGTAAGACGTGATTCTTTCTCTGCTAATAAAAGCTTGGCGTGGAAGGGCTGAGGATTGGATTAACTTTAGCTCATCCATATAAACTCTTTCACAGTTTGCTACAATAACAGTGTCAGAGCCTTGAATTAATGATAGTATTAGAAAAGGGATGAAAGACCAAGAAGGAAAGAGATCAAGGGGGAAGACAGAATGGCAGTGGCAGATGCAGAGAGGACAGAGTGAAGGGAAATAGAGTTAACGTGGTTGGAGCTGTCTGAACGGCCAATGTGTCTCTTCTCAGAAGAGCAATGTGCCTCTTAGCTTCTGAGCGGTAGTATTCAAAGTCACACGCAAAGGTAAATATGGCTCTTACAGAGGAAAGACTGCCTTACATATTTATCCTTTGCCCCTCTTCCTCAGCCCAAGTCTCCTAGGAGAAGGCATCACACAGGAGAAAGGCAGCCCTGAAATCGCTCCACTTTGCGGCATTAGCCGGACACCACAATCCAAGCAACTGGAAGGACTGTTATTCTGACGAATAGCATTAACTTTAGTGGCAGGGACCTCGCAGGCACGGAGGGGTGGGGGGAGGTGGGGGGAGATGTGGAGAGGGCCAGCACAATTGAGACTGCTATTGGATTGGCAGGCTTTTAGCCAGGCCCTTCTGCTTTGGAGGCAAACAGCATCTCCCTGTTCGCAGAGGTAATGGAGCTGTTAGGACGCCATTCAGGACTAAGAAGAGACCAGAACACATCATCCCGCAACAATGGGCTATCTCTTAACCTAGTTACAAGGTAAGCTAGAGCCCCCTTCCCACCTGCCCTGGCTCCTAGTACAGTTTTCCCTTGATGGAGCCGTGCACTCAGGAAGTCAGGCTGCATAGACCTCCAGGAGGGCAGACAAGGCAGAGGCAGAGACAGAGGAAAAGGGATGGAATTGCAGCAAAATAGAAAGAACGGGCTAGAGTGTATCTGAGAAAACAAAGGAGAGAGAATACTAAGAAAAGGAAAAAGTACCCCAAAGGCAACAGTCAGGTGAGAGAAAAATAAGAGCGGAAAGGGGAATGTAAAGGACAGGGAGGGGAAGTCAAACGGATCTGAAATTTCTCTGCTGAGTAAACCCACCTTAACCTCATCATTTATTGGCTGAGTGCCATGCTTTCCTGTTTGCTCTTTGTAACGTAAACAGACCACAGAGTCATCTGGTTCTCAACAAAGCTGACTGTCACACGAGGGATATGGGTAGACCCGGGCTCGAGGTTTCCCTCTGGAAAGGGTTGAGGGGAATAAAGTTGCTTCCTTTCGATGAAGAATGATTTGAAAAGTGCTGGCAGCAAAAACGGCATCTGTTCCTGGGGTTGGGGGAAAAGAGCTTGCTAAGCAGTTCTTTAATAACTCAGGGCACATTTCTTAATTCTTTTCTCCAGCCTTGAGGGTCCCACAGAGAAGGGCAAAATACCAGAGCAGATAACGCAACAGAGAGAAGTGTATTCAGTCAGCCGCAGGTGGAGATCAGCGGCCTTGCCGTGAGTTTGGGTTGCAGAGTTGTGCAAGGCGCTGCTGCCCTCTAGTCTCCATCAGGATTGCAGACACTGTCCTTGCTGGTTGTGGAAAGAGCCCGGTGCTGCCCGGCCATCTCCTCACCTGTAACCTGCAGTGTGGCTGCCCTGTTGAGCTCTTGTCCACTCTTCTTGCATAGCTCTCTTTGGGGGCTATACACAGAGAAAGAGGAAGGGAGGAGGTCAAGGAAGGGAGCAGGGAACCAAAAGGAGGAAGGACTGAAGGAAAACGTCTTTCACTAAATGATATTGTTCTATACTGCCCACCCACCGAAGAGATGCTGTCACGTCTTTCTTCTTTCTGGGCGCGCTCCCTAAACTGCCTCTCTCTATGCTATGTTGCCACTTTGCTCCCAGTTTCTTGTATCTTCCTCTTATTTTTTCTCTCTGTCATTCCACATTTGAGGAGCTTTGTTTATTTAATCTCTGCACAACACACTGTGAAGGATACAAAGTGGCTGGCAGGGGCTCTGACTTCTAGGAGCTCAGAGTCAAACCGGTGACGCAAAACAAATAAACATGAGCCATTTTGCAAACAATAGTCTGACGCTAAGATGGGTGAGGGAAATAGGAAGCAAAAAGTGCAATTGTATTGTTATTTGTGCTTCTGGCTATGAATGCAACTGCCCACATTTTCAAACTGTTAAGCGGCTTTGGGCCAAGACTTAAATCCATTTTTACTCAGCCTGCAAAGGACCACCCGGCATTTAACATGTCAGCAAAAAAGAGGGAAGCTTGTGCATATCCTCCCAAACACATCATCAGGGCCAGGCAGAGCTGTGGAACTCACTTTGAGCTTGTAGGTCTGACTCATGGATGATCCTGTATTTTTAGAAAGAGAAGTTCCTCCATTTTTATTTATTCTCCTTCTCTTTTCCGTAAATTAAGAGGAGAAAGAGAAAGAGGCGGAAGAGATGTGATGCAATGAGCAGGTACAGAGAAAGCATGCGTCCCCACTCACACACGCACACACGCGGATTGGATTGTCTTTGTGGCCACCTACTTGTTTAGCAACCGAGTGTTGTGTTGTGTTCTCTTTGGAGTTACTGACCAGAGCAAAGACAGGAAATCCAAATTTTCCATAGGAGGCAAGGAAGCCAGTAATATGGCTAGACCAGTGGAGAAAAGAGGTCAAGCAAATTACCTCAGATACAAATCTTCGGCACTAAGTACAACTGATAGAGCTAAAAAGCGAAAAACACACATCATAAATATCCTGCCATCCCAACTCTGCAAATTTGGATGACATTATTTTTGGTATAACTTTGTAAGCATTTCACTTGACTGCATATACATCAGTCGGTGACCTAATTTTGTCATGCTAGGTGTTGTATATTTCTACCACAGAATTATAAGTGGGTTGAAATGGTTCAAATAAATTACATTTTCCCTCATCCCTCAACAGAACCCAAAATCATTTTTTGAAGGTGAGAACACTTGCGTGGCTATGAATCCCTATTTTATTAATTATAGGCACATCCTTACATAATTCCTAAATTTGACTATTCTGAGGAGGAGGCCTCCTAAGCCCTCTTAGGTAAGGACCAGTATTTTTTCTTTGTAAAATGTTCAAAACCAAAAAGATCCCTGGAAGGTTTGGTTTTCTTAGACCTATAGCGTTTTTCCAAATCCAACAAAGAGCTTCGATAATGAGACTGGAAGTTTGTTCTCAGTAGCTGTGCTCATCCGTGCATTGTGCGGTTCACCTGTCAAGTCCAGCAGAACAATCCTAGCCTAGGAAACTAAGCTCATCTCCGCTGTTCCTGCAAGAACGGGCCTCGCCACTTCTGTAGAGGGTCTGCAGGTTAAGCAGCTAAGAGATGAGAATCATCATAATTGGACCCATAAGGATGGGAGAAAGCCAATGCTTTGCTTTCTCAAGAGTAAGACCAAAAAAAGAAATAGAAGGACAATAGAGGTTAAGAAATCTCAAGCAAAAATATTTCACTAAAATTCACTCTTCTCTCCTTGTCTGAAAAACCTTTATCAAAGCCCATGAGATGTTACCTCTCTATAATGTATTTAGCTTCCAAGTTAATCTTCCTGCCTCTAATTCAACTGACAGATTGATTTTAGGATATTAGATAGAACCATATGAAATTACCATTTCAGTAAGGTAAAAATGGTTAAATATCAGCAATTTCATATGGTTCATTTGGCTTCTTTACTTATTTCAATATATTTCTTCCTTGTGCAAAAGTCTATAATGTCTCATTAATACCTTATGGGTTGAAACAAAAAATCTGAAACGTGGAATCCATGCTCCTCTTCCTGTACAGCTATCATGCCTCCCTGTCCTTTAGCCAAGAAGCACCTTCCCCACAGCAGCTTCTCTCTGTATACACGGCAAACTCTGTCTCCAGAATGTTCATTTAAAAAATATCTTTCTTTTCTCTTATAATTCTTCATCCCTTCTATATGCTCTACAGATTCCAAGCTTCCTTCAGGTACCTGTGCACAACCTACATTAAGCAAGTTTCCCTGAAATTCATACTTCACTGGAACTCCCTTTCCCAGAATATCCCTTCCAGTATATGATTATGCCTAGCTCAACAGTGTCACACGCACAGATACCAACTGTTAGCAGACCACATTATTTCAGTTGTGGGTGCCTTCTGTATGCCTGACTGAGCCTAAAACACTTCCGGGATAAAAATGCCTTAGCTTTTC